AATGGGCATCTACATGTTATGTGTATTAATGAACTCTTTGGTGAGGATTTTACGGGCTGTGTGATTTCTGCCGTTTGAGGGGAAATCGTGGCTACGGCTGGAGTTGTTTTCCCTTTGAGCATTTAGTGAATAACCGTAGACATTTCTGGCACGGCAATAGTTTTGAAATGAACCATTCTAAAATCCAGACTTGTATTCGTCCTTGACCATAGCCTTCCCAAATGAACTGAGATTCCCGTGTTCTCTTTCAGAACACTGCCGAAATGCTGACAAGGTGTTCGTTTTTTCAGCTTCTTAACTTTACGAGTACGCTATTTTTATAACGGTGCTGTAAGATAGGCTGCACATGGGCAGTTGGTTTACGGAGTAGGATGGAAACAAACAAAATGAAAACAGTAAAATTATGTCATTCATTCATTCATCATCATCCTCATCATCAGGCTGTGGTCATCCATTGTTGGATGAAGCCCTCCTCGAGCAGTTTCCATTCTCTTCCGTCACTTGTCATTGTACTCCATGTTGCCGTGTTCATGTGGTGATTTCATCTTTCCATCTCCTTTTTTGTCTACTTCTTCTTCTTCTGCCTGTACTGTGAGTCTCTCGGTCCATCTGTTTTGTCTTCTTGCTAGGTGCCCTCCCCATCTCCATTTCATTTCCTTGATCTTCTCTATGATTTCTTTGACCTTTGTTTTTTGTCTTATGAAAGTATTTCTGATTTTGTCCCGTAATGATAGATTGGGCTTTCTCCTTTCCATATAGCTCTCTTGGTTGTTATCAATTTGTGTTCAATTTCTTTGGTTGTTGCCCATGTCTCTGCCCCATAAGTCATCGTCGTTTGGACACACTGGTTGTTAATCCTTCTTCTAAATGATATTGGATTTTTTTTGTCGGTTAGTATTCCTTTGTACCTTCCAAAACATCTCCATCCTCTCTTGATCCTAATTTGTACTTCTTCTCTCGAGGTGTCTTCCATTTTCAGTGTTTGGCCAAGATATTTATGACTGTCCACTTTCTCTATCAGATGACCCTCTGTTGCTCTTTCGTCTGTTGTCTCAAAGTTTGTCACGAACTTAGTCTTTCTCCTGTGCATTTGTAATCCAACCTGTTTGCTTTCGTCATTCAGATTGTGTACCTGATGTTCCATGTCCTTAACCGATGATGTGGTCAGAGCCACATGATGTCATTATACATGTACGTTCTCATACTGACGGCTTAGCCGTCGCTTGGTGGCGCTGTACCGTAATCCATGCTTGATGGATGGAGACAGCATTGCGTAACAAAGTGATGGCGGCGTAATTATTCGCATGCTGAATACAGGTTTACCTGTAATGATGCCTGGCAGTTGTTGGTTTTCTTTGGTTCCTGGTGGTTTAACAACTCACGGGAAAACTCTGCATAACATGGTGTTGCGAAAGAAATACTCCAGACATTATCATAGCAGAGTTGGCATCAAGTTATCACAAGTCATCGGAAGTGCAAACCTTCTTTTTCTTCTCCTCAACAGCAAAATGTTATTGCCTTTCATATCAAGTCTATCTTTCTATCAAGTCATTTTTTTCATGCAGATAGATTAAGAATTGCAGTAAACTAGGGACAAAGGAACTATTGACCAATTCAGTCACAATTCATTCACAATTGGAATTGCAAGTCCAGCCGCAAGTTGTAGAGATAAAAGCTATTCCTGACCATTTTGACCCGGAAAAATGCCAGGCCCCATAGGACTTAAATTCGGCGTGAAATCTGCTCCAGAGTGTGGTGCTTATGACCAGTTGCCGATTATTATGGAGCTGCATAGCAAAGACATTTTGTGAGCAGAAAAAAATCCTAAGCTAAAGAGTGTTGCCTGCTGCAATGTCATGGGTACGCATCACCACTTGTGACTGGTATACACGGCTAGTTTTGTTATTTTTTCGAAGGGCATTAATTGAATTGCTGACTGCTATTTTCTGTCTTAGCAATCTCATGAAACCGACCCGTGCACTGATATGATTAGTGCATGCCTGATTGAATTGATTGACTCTGCATTTGCAGAACAATTGTCCCAACTGTGAGCTTGTCTTACATACGCAGTGTGGACTTCCGAACAAAAGACGTCCACATAATGTAGGTAGCAGCGACGAAGTGTGGACTTGCCCACGTCCACACAGTGTTTCCCCATTTCTGGAAAACAGGTTTACAGGCATTTTTGGGTTAGGTTTATCTGTAGCAGAATGAAGAGAAACACCAAAGGGAATCATTGAAAAAAAATTGGGTTGTAAGAGTTTTCACAGTTTGAGAAAAATGAGTTTTTCCACTGGTGTTCCTTAACTACACGAAAAGAAAGGAAAGTCCACACTAGGTATGTGAAACAAGTCTGTGTGTGTGTGTGTGTGTACATGTTAACATCGTCAGAACCAACCCTCACTGTCTGCATTAAAAACCCGGGAGTACTCCCCCGTCAGTGCTTCCGCACACGGTACGGCAAAACCCACCTGAAGTATAATTCAGCAATCACCGAGGCAGGCGGACCTCTTTAACTCAACCGGTGTAGAAATACATTGGACTTAATAGAATACAATGATTTATACATGAATTAGTCCCCGCCGAACGCGGCGCGCGCCCGGTGTAGGTATACGCATCGCCATCTTCCAATATCCACGTGTTTTTTTTTAGTGGTCGTTCATTAGCCGTAATCGGATCCAGCGAGTGTCGGTTAATTGTTTAGGTTTCCATATTAATTAGCCCCGTTGATCGCTGTTGAGGTGGTTTTAAATCAGGTTTTGATGAGCTGTGTCGGCCGGGAATTAATTAGATTTGTTACGTCTGGGTTTAGAAGGGGGAGGAGGGGCCCTCGCGATGTGCATTTGGAAACCACGGGGCTGATAGATTTTCAACACAGCATCTCTATGGCGTGCGCCTAATCATAATTATTATTTTCAACTGGCTGTGATAACATGTCTGCCTTTTCACAACGAGGAAGGAATAAGTTCAGGTCCACATTTCATTTTGTATCAATTAATGGATTTGAATAACATGTAAGTGTTTGGACGTGGAAAGTCACAATTGAATTGTACACTGAGAAAATTGCAACCAAAAATAATTGTTAAATTTCTAGCAAAATGTGCAGATTTGTATACTGGTGGTAAATCTCTTCAAAACCTCTCAAAGTGAGCTTCGTCCAGCTTGACGTACACAGTAATCGCAATCATTGCACTTTCTGTCTTTCTCTTTAATTCCTGTATTTGGTTTCGATAAATCATATTTTCTGTCCCTAAAATGTCTACGATATCCCATCCTGTCCGAGTGAATCCTGTTCCAACTTTCTTTCTTTTTTTTTTTTGTAGCGTGCCTTTCCGCATACTTTTATCCACTAAAATTGGACCGGTGCAATTACTTTTAAAATTTACATAACAAAATTAAGTTACATTTGGTAACATATTTTGAACGATTTTAGTAACTACCAGTGACTTTTTTTATAAATGGGATTCTGTTGAAAAAGCATGATAATACACAAATTTCTATTAATTGATTCACGAGTTTATATTTTCACTCAATGTGAAGCCAATTTTGTGAATCTCAGAAATATTTGTTTTTGAAACTTCGTATTGAAAACAAAATTGCAAAGACAAAGTCTGAAGGTTGGTGTGCAATTTCCGATCGCGTATTATACAGAGCTGAGCTTTACTAATCCTCGATTAAGTCCACTCATCCCTTTCCCGCCTTCCGTGTATCATCCCACTCCGTCAATATTTTCCTTTCCCATTTTGTAATTGAAAACAGGGTCCCCACTGACCGGAGATAATTCTGTTCAGATTAAGAGGGTGGGAAACAGAAGATGAAATCTACTGATCATTCGTGTAACGGGGCTGGCGCTCACGGTTTTACGGCGTGTCGAGCATGGTGTTCATCTCAAGCGATTAGGGTTGGGGATTAAAAAATAACAGAGTCTCTGGAAAAACAAACCCCTGTATGCATGTATACGTGGGGGAAGATTTGATGCGAAGTGGCGTTGATTATTCACGCAATGGAAGGACGAGACGTTGTCAAAACTGCATGAAGCACCTTAGTCTGGTTCCCTGACGAATTGCGCAAAATTAATGTGAGTGCGAATAGTTGAGGCTCCTGCTTCGCAGTTAAGCTAATGAAAAGTAGCCTAATGCTATGTTAGCATTTCGCGATGTTATGACGTTGCCTCTGAAAGTGAAATCAGTATTCGCATATCGTTGTCAAAATGTACTATTTGCACATTATGCAACCCTCTTTTGATTTGTTTAATACATACAAACTATTCATAAGATGGAATTTGCGTCGGGGTAATGTAAATTCAATATTAGGTTTTGCCCTTTACTGACGTATAAATACTCTATATACACTCAGTGTGTTACCCCCGAGTGGAAGTGAGAAACAATCACTCGGTTGGGACTGGAGCCCACGACCTCCTGCTTTCTAGTGCAGAAGTCTTACCACTCGACCACCAAGTTTCCCGGGATCGGCTGGCTGGTCCGGCTGGACTAGAAAGTAGGAGGACGTGGGTTCGAGTCCCACCCGAGTGATTTTTTTCTCACTTTCACTCCGGGGGGGAGGGGGACACACTGAGTATGCAGTATTTATACGTCAGTGAAGGGCAAAACCTAATATTGAATACATACAAAGGTCTTCTCATGTGTTTGCTTAATTGTTAAGATACCTTCCATGCAAACGATCTGTTACCTCACTACCAAGATAGCGTTCGGTTTTCTTAGACAGTGTCAGACACATTAACAAAAAAAGTACGTTGGCATGTGATATCCTGTCTTGATTTACTCGTGTTTATTTCTTAACACAATCAGAGAGGGGCCAAAACTTCAATTTATGCGTCTTAAATCCAAGCCCTGAGCATCAAAACGTCAAACATTCTGCGAGCATTTTCTTAAGTGATAAATCACGCGCACCGTACAAACTTTCAACAGTGAGCTGCAGACAGATTTGTGTACCTTAACACTTTTTTGAAGACACTTTGTTATCGACCTTTGACCCCATAGGGCGAGATCTCCATCGTGGATGAGCCGAGGCGGGTCATAGTTCAAGCGGTTCACGAACTTTTCGATCAGGAGGTGACGACGTTTTGGGAAGAGGAGGTCGCTCGAACCTGCACAGTGGTGTTTATAGGTAAGACAGCTAAGAAGTTAAAGATTTGTTTTGAGACCTTTATTTTGCTACGGATCTACTGTAGTGTTTACCGACCAGTGTTGCTAAGTCGGCCATTATTGTCAAACAAAAGAAAAACCCATAAATTAAGAGGAAAATACTGATTCAGTGCGTAGACAATACTCAAAATGAATTGAAAGTTCCTTGTTCTGTAATACAGATGTCTTAAAGGGCCCATGTGTTTAATTTTTCTTAGGATCACATTTTGTGGAACGTTCTACTCCTCAATGTATGAAAATTATTTGACATCCCTTTTTGGTTTATTTTATTGAAAAGTGCACTTCTTTAAACATTACCATTTTCGTGTTCCGGACAACTGAGGGCGCTGCTGTTGCTGTGATGTCATTTAAGGAAGGCACTGTTCAGTTTCGGGGGTTTTCTGTTCAAATTGTGACCCTACAATTTCCTCATTAAAAAAATCTTTATGAGAAAGGGTTGCTCATTGGCTTACTTCCATTTACTTACACAAAAACGCATCACCAAAGAAAAGAAAATTAATCCAAAATTCCAGCAAATGTTTGTGCTGATATAGCTGTAACATCGAGGTTTCTGCCCGGAATAACATGACAGTTTTGCCCATGAATGTGGAAATTCGCAATATCATAAAAATAAACAAGGCACCAAAATACCCTTCAAAATGGCAAAACGAAAATTGGAAATAAGGTTGAATGGGACACAAAGGTGCATTTTCAAGGATTGCATTCAAACAAATTACATTGCATGGTCCCTTAAAATGTGCTGTTGTGGGGCAAGAGCTGTTAAACCATGGTCGAACATCATAGCATAAACTAAGTTAACTTTGGTAACAGACAAAATACAGTTTGCATGGAGTATATAATTATTAAGGGGGTAACAAGTGTCATAAAGACGTGGCAACAGTGAACGAACGGTCGACTTTTTTGTGTACCTCTCGTCACCGACACCACGAAGTAACACCCATCTACATACCAGTGAAAACTAGCAATCGGAGAAAACGGCAGCTAAAGTTGAACGCCTTCTAAAACAACACTTTGCGTCAAAACGACAGAGTATTTTCAGTTGGGTTTCTCGTTGTGGACACTTGATGAATTGAATTTATTAAATCTGCTGTTTTTCACCCGTTTGTGTATTAAATAAACAAGAAATAAGAGAAAAAAGATGAGTGTTAGTTTGTGAAACCGAAAAGGCTGCGAAACTGTAAATTTTCGTTTTCACGAAGTAACACTCTTCAATGTATTCAACACGAGGAAAGTGCAACTTCAGGTCAGCGCGCGCGCGCTCATACAACTTATAACAAGAAGAGTGTTACTTCGTGAAAACGTTTTTGCTCTTTTATGAGCAGAGTGCGCGCCATGCATTGCAATGGTAAATGGAACTTGAGTGTTACTTCGTGAAAACGAAAATTGTCACTTTTGCGCAAAAGTTGCCATGGATACTTAGCGTAATTAATAAAGTAAAGCTCTTGGAGCTTTGACACTTCGTGCAATGGTAGGCCTTGATGAAGAATGTTTAAAAATCCAAAAAACTGAAAATCGAAAATCACGTGTCGGTGACGCTCTTTTTGCGTGTTTGAAATATTGTACAAAGTGTTGAGTCGAAAGGCAATCGCTTGAATGTGTTAAATATCCCTCTGCAATGCCTGGTTTTTTTTCTCCAAAAGCTTCGTATTGGGTTAAAGTATTGGTACGTAAGTTTCATACCATTTTCAAAACAGGTTAGGTAGGATTGTTGGTAGGATTGTTTCATGCACAATACATATTCATGCGTAAGGAAATGCATTGAGGAAGAATTGTAACGCATTTATACAGCAATCGGCATATTCCTTGAACCTTTGAATGCCTATAAATGACGTAACTCACAGTGTACGATTTACTGTCACGTGACGAGTGCTGTGGTCATGATACATTGTACATGAGTCAAACACCATAAGCACTGGACCATTGCAGTCCGAAGATGTGTCAAGTGACGCATCCTCGGAAATGTTATGTGGTGGTTTATTGAGACTGGATCCCGGTCCCTCCATTGACTTCTAATTACGTAGGGGCGGGAAACAGTCTAAGAGGTATTTGAATACCGCCCCATGTGAGTAAATGTAATAAGTCAGCATGAAATACTGAAGAAGAAAAAACTGTATATGTTTTCACCTACAAACGGTAATCGTTGGTTTCCCAATTCCAATCTCGCCTTTCTTTTGCACTGAAGTTAAAATTTTGACTGTTCACACATTTTTTTTGTTTCCATGATGGTTTCTCAACTCAGATAGGACTAGAAAGCCGCAAATATATTATATTTATAGGCCTAATTCTAGATGATGCTCGGTATGCTTTCTTCACTGGTTTCATTATTAGTATAATTGGTGACATTGTCACTAGTGATCCAGGGTCTACCTGAAGCCAATGGTTTCCATGAAGTCTCACTGTCTGATTTTGCGCTCGTATAGGTGTATGTACTTGCTTAATGTAATAACTTACAGCTAAAGTCTTATTACAAGCAAACAGCCCCCTCCCTTCTTCAGATCGTAATTTCTACGATCTGGCATTGGTAGCTTTTCAAATAACAAAAACAAAATAGTCGCGTAACTTTCGAATCAAAGCATTTATTAGAATTAAGAATTATTTGTTGTATTAAAAACTCGGGTAATCTTTAACGAAATCCATGCAGTTATTAAATTTTCATATACAAATGTAATACTTCGAAACCAAACGGTAGACCGCCGGAACGGTGTCCCAGACGGCACAGGTCCGCACTCTAGTTCGATGTTCTTTGTTCAACTGGAACAAAGATTGTGATAGGTAAATCAGTGGCACCGCAGCCGTGCTTCCTTTAAAAATGCTTGGTACATGTATTTATTATTGGCCCAAAGTGATTTGATTGGCCCCTACATCCAACAAAGTATAATCGTACTTAATTGCAAGTGGGGAAAACTGTCAAATGTGTGCAAGTGGTAGCGTCGCCATTCAAATGCATCTGCTTAACTAGCTATAACCAACACGAGACAATAGCTATTTAGAAGTTTCTAACATTTGTATGCAACGGAAAAAATACCGATCACAGCATCTGAAGTTGAAGAATGAATCGTACCTAATTGGTGTCAGTTTGGAAAACCTAGCTAAATAAGTTGAGAGCATCACAAGTTTTATTTAAGAATTAAGGCCTACTGTGACGATTGTTTCGGACTAGGTACATAACGACACGGTGGTGGATCTCTGCTTTTATCAACAGCCCAACTGATGGAACTCACACACAGTCTGGTTTTTACTATACACCACAGAGGACCCTTATTACTCCCTTCTCTGTTTCCTGTTGTTTGGACTTATACTTTTTTTCCCATTTCCAAGGCGTGCGCTGAGAAAAACCTTTTGAGAACTTAGGCTTAGGTCCTCAGGTTCATTGTCATCACATGTAATCCGTTGTTCCAAGTCCGCAGACGTAAAGGATAACCAGATACACACACGTTTGTGTATCGAGGACATCCCATAGTCCTTTTGTTTGCACCTACACTTCTTTGCAGCATTTCTTACTGGTTTGGTACACGTTTTCAAATGGAGTATTCATTCCTCACTTGGGTACATGTCCTCAGTATGAAAAAAAATTCATTCTGGGGTAGTACACAACATCTCATCCGCAGTTGGGTAACTTTTCCAATGACCATGGTTAACAACAGTATTTAGATGAATCTTCATGTTCACCACTATGAGTTATTAAAAACTTGTTTGACTGTATTATTTTGATACTCGTGTGATCAGCGGACTACCCACCATTCCTTGTTGTGAGAATTCAAGATGCGGTGCATCATCAAAAGAAGACAAAAAGTAGCAAAAAACACCCCGGAATCTCCCTTGAATATTGAAGGGGAAAATATTGGAAAGCAAGCAGTACATGCAAAGCCGATCAGAGGTATCCATTAGAGCAATATTATTGTAAATTTGTAACATCCATGTCTTTGTTCTGTAATCCTAAACCCCGGTCCGATCCGATGTGGGTATAGTTCCCGCGCGCAGCCGGTGTGTATAGCCGACAAAAGCCCCGCCGCCGCCCGCCGTAATATGCGCCCGGACTAGGACCCCTCAGCACAGTGTTTTCATAGCAGATTGCGCGCGATTTGCGGGAGGGTTAAACCCCAATGTCAACAATTTTCCATCCGAGAGTAATCATTTCCCCCTGCTCCTGACTATAATGATACTGTACGAGAGGCGCGTCTCCTAAGATAAAGATTTCTCGTTAAAGGGGATCGCTTGCCCAAGTCTGGCTCAGATCTACGATCAACTGTAACTTTGTTGTTAGAACGCCCTCCATTGACCCGAGGTATTTTTATACTTCATCTATTTGCTCGTCTATATTGTCCTAGCCATGGGCGCATTAGACGCTTGCATCTTACACAAAAATTCTGTCAGGAAACTCAGGCGTCGCATAGCATGTTGGGGAGGTCATCGCGTTGACCAGCACACGTGTATTCAGTGTGTAGTGGTTGTGCGCACACGGAAGTGCTGACCTCGCGTCGTGTATATTGTTCGTATTGGGATGGTTAAGGACGTCTGTGTAGCTCCCTCTGGGTGTTGCAAGACAGATTATTTGCTCCTTGCAGAAAATCTTCCAAACTAAAAAGTAGACAATGAGAAATGATAAAACTTAACTCTGTGACCACTTTTAAAGGGAAAAGGTACACCCTTCCCGTACACAGTCTTACCTTCCATACCTCCTGTGGGCATTCCTGTATATTCGTGTAGTTAAAACAAACCGGAGAAAACAACTCATTTTACTCCCATTGTGCACATTCTTTCAACCATGAAATCATGATTTCCTTGAGTGTTCCAGACCTCTTCATTTAAGTATGCATAACCCTAACCCAAAATGCCTCTAAACCGTTTCCAGAGAGGGAGAAACCTTGTGTGTGAAGTGGGCAAGTCCACAAAACGTTCACACTTCCTGCATCCTGTGAACCAAATTTGGTCACAGGTCCACAAAGAGTATGCGAGGTTAGAGCATTACTGTACTTATATACGAGGACCCTTATTGTTCCCTCTTTGTTGGTTCCCATTGTTGGGACTTGAACTTTTTCTTGACATGTCCCAATAGGTTTGCACACGAAAACCTCCTGAGGACTTGGCTCAGGTCCTCGGGGTAATTGTTTCGCATATAACCCATTGTCACAAGTCCTCGGACGTACAAGACCAAAAACCAGAAACGATTATAAAAACAGTTTGAACTCAGGTCCACCTGATGGTGGCAGTATTGCTACATCTGCGGTTCTGTAATGCTTTCTGGCTTTGCTTCCACGTATAACCTTCATTGGTCAGTGCAATTGTGCCTATTTCATTCAGTCAACGGAACAAAGAAATTGTCCATTATGTTGCTTTCTGAGGTTACATTAACTACAAAAGGAATTACAAACGGGTCACCAATGTCCCAAAAGTGAAGTATAAGACCATGTGCCATTTGGTAACAAATTGGATGTTCTGGTCACGTGTTTCCAACTTTCAGCAAACTGTTCTCTTCTGCACTGCATGTGTATCTCTTGAAATGTGATTGGTGTAAAAGTGGGGGCATAAACTGTTTAATGTGGGCAAAATAACATACAAAGGTGCTTAAATATTTGGATTGCCCGTCGGTTGCCAGCTGGTATGACGTGATGGTCTATATGTACGTACTGATATGACTGCGATTTTGAACTGTATATGCTTTTCAATGTTACATATCTCCAAAACGTTGCACAACTCTGACGCTTCTCTCGTAGTCGAGAAAACCTCATTACGTCTTGTAGTTCAGTTTCAACTGCCTTTTGCGCATCAGTGAACGAAACCACACAAACCCACTGTCACAAACCGCCACGGATGGGAAGAGCTACGAATTGGCATTAGGATCAATTTTCAGCTATGGTTTCACTATGACGGCTTCCAAGTCTGTTGTTGGTTTCACAGAAAACGTGGAGTCGTTCTCCGTGAAGAAAGCGTGCGATTTTTGTTTTCCTATTGGCGGGGCGCTGTGTTTTTATTTTTGACTTCACATGCTGACCACCTTGCAAGTTTTATATCAGAAGATAACACTCAGATTTATACCACGTGCGTCATTTGGGCGAAGCGTGCGTCAACTATACCACGTGACGGTGCTTTGTTGTCCAAACTGTCACGCCCTGTTTCTAAATATGTCTTCGGGAGCAGTTTCTCAGCAAGGGGTACAGACGTCAGTGGTGTTTGAAATGCGTCAGTTATTTCCAATATGCGTCAGTTCCTAAGATATTGTGCGTCAGTGGTTTGAACGCGTGCGTCAGCGGCTGGACCCGTGCGACATCGAAGGCATTGTCCCAATCGAAGAGTTTCGATAGGAAAATCGATTTCCCCAATCGATAAAGATTTCCTTGTTCTACCAGTATGTACAACATTAGTCAGGTACCACGATTAATATAAAAGCTGGTTATTGTGTTGAAGTTGGGTAAGTTGGGAACAGAAAACACATGCACGTTGTTTTTGTACATGTGATTTCTTTGGCGTCTTTCAGAGACCATTGCGAGCATACTATCACTGCACACTCACTGAGGCCCCCTTCAATGGCGCATGCATTGTGCAAAGTATTGTTCAGATAATCCTCACTTGATATTTGGTTTGTACAATAGCGAACACAATGCTTTCGTCATTGAAGGTGGCCACATCGACTGAAGCGTGATATCGTGCTGGGAATGGACTAGATAATCAATACATTGTTTGCTTATCATTCAGTATAACTTCGTTCAAATATCTTAATTCTGATGGCCCCGATTTACCAGACCTTTCTCCGCTTCAAGTCTGCTGCCCAAACTTATTCCATACACGATTCTTATTAACTAAACGGTTTTGTTTGATCATACAGTCGGTTGAATGAATCGTGCTGTGTATTTTTATCCAATGGCTGGGGAGTATCCAGCCTATTGTGTGTTCAAGCACCGTTCTTTTTTTTCAGCATTCAATGTTGAAGAAGAACATCTTTACAGCAAACTATCATCATTTGCTTATTGACAAGAACCTCATCTATTTCTTAACGCAGGGAGAAACTTGGACCTAAAGGTCCTCGAGAAAACGCTACGGCAGATGGTTCAAGACGCGCCCCCTACGGCGACATCGTCGTCGACGCCCGTGCCGCCCTCTGTCGTCCACGCGGGTGCTACGTAGTGTAAACACTTTGGTAACTCATAAGCTGTTCGCCTTTCACCCACCACGTTGTAGATTCCATTGGTATCTTTCAATGTTGGTATCACCCATTTTTTTATATGAATAATGTAAACATGGTGAATCGTTTCGATCCCTTTGTTTTAATTCAGCCTACACATACATGTATATAGGTTCGATGGATCATGCATAAGACTTTCCTCATTGGCCAAATTCACTCTCTGTATAATTTGTATGTTATATTGTGCACATTTTCAAACCTGCCACCATGATGGTTTCATATCATATCCCACGAGTTTTCCAACCCTCGCCATGTTCAAAAATAATATTAAAAATCCTCGTAGATTCGACAGAAAATCGCAATGCTTATCGTGTGGTTGTTATATTCTTTTACCCTTCTGTTGTTGTCCGAACAGTCACAGACAGTCAAAAAATCGACCCTCTTCCCCTGCCATGCCTTTTACACAGGCTAGTCACCTACAGTCAGATCATATTTCAAGCAAGTACTGTGACTAGTCAAATTCGGTCAAAAGACAAAAGCATGCAACTGGTAGGCACAGTTGGCTTATCAATCATCTACAGTCGAAGCACAGGTGTATCCAGTTACATAAACATTCACAGCCAGTCAATACTGCTTTAGGTAGGCTGGGAGCTCTTAACTGTTGAAAACAGTCACTTGACTGATTTTGAATGAAAGGACAACTTTGCACAGAGTGTAAGTTTGCATAGGAGGGATGTGAAGTATCGTCCGTCCTTACATGAAGAAGTGTCGGTAGTGGCCCTTTTCGTGGCAGCCACGCATCTTGTTCCCAGGTAGGGATGGGTAGACCCTTTGCGCAGTAATTGTTAATAAATTAGAGTGTCAAAAGACACCTTCAAAATGCGGGTTGCTATATGTAAGGCGTATTCGAAACCCCGTTCTCGAGTAACCCGCGAACAGTGTTCTCGGGTTGCCGATTACGAACGCCCAAGTGCGTGTGGAGAGCAGCTGGGGCGAAAATTCAAGATGGCAGCCGCCATATATAACTCCGAATTAAATGAAAGGAAAATTAATTATCTTACGAAAATAATTTAAATCCTGAAACAGCTATACAAATTGGCAATGATAAGCCCACTCTATATATGAAAAGGCCTACGTAAAAAAAAAAAATGTGTATCATTTAAACTGCTCCGGTGTTGGGTGAGTGCTTTTTCGTTTATCCACAAGATTAACGCAAGTTGTGAAAGTAGGGACCTAAGTCCGCCATCTTTGTTCTTGACGTTCCTCATCTACTCCATAAGTGGGGAGTAAAAATCCTGTTCGCGAACACCGTGTTCGCGTGTTGGTTCTCGTCATTCGAAACCCCGTTCTCGTGTTCATTAAACACGAGAACGGGGTTTCGAATACACCCGTTAAGTGTGCATTGTGTTACTGTGTATGCTTGGTGTACAATTTAATGTATGGTTTGCCGGCCCACGGACCCTTTTATACCTATGTCAGTCCAATAGAAATCCTGACTATGTTCTTTGATTGTTCCCCTGTTTTCTTTATATTTTTGCCCGTCAACATTCCCATTGTATACTATTGACCAGATTGTCACCTTTCCGTGTACCCTCGTCGCTCATACCGTCGAATGTGAATAGAAATCTGCGTTTCAATGTGAATATTCCAAACTTGACTTTCCTATTTCCATTATACATTGTGCATTGCTTTGCCAACCCATACATATACAGACAGTGATTGATAAACCTCACTCTTGCACGATCAGTATCGCTCGTGGTGCCCCCTCAGTATTCCCAAGCCACGCCTATCCCGTGGGGATTTTCTTGCACTCCGCGTGCGCGGCGTTGTTATGTTCGCCGCTTCACGCAGTGTGGGGCACAGTTGGCGGGCAACTCGCGTGGGACCGGAACGCGGACCGGACGCCCCCGCCAGAGTACCCCCTCCGATAGCCATCTCTGAAGCCTCGTCGCGCGGGCCGCGCCATTGTGCTTCCAAAAATCTCTCCGTTTTAGATCCGATAATTGGATTAAATGACGTACTCACCTCCCCTTTTAGCTAATAATCCCCCAATCCTTTCGGGATGGTGGAAGAAGAAAAACAAAATGTCATCCACTTTACGAAATACTCGGTTGGCTGCGCATAGGCATCTCAACGGAGTGTAAAATAACGGGCAGCAGCCTTCTGCTTGCTATCCGTATAAGAATTAAATGACTTCTGCCTTAGCCCAACTCCCGGCAGGTTTTTTTTTCTTTTCTTTTTCGTCTGAAGATATATTTCAGATCATGAAAACAACAGTTTGTCATTCGGAATTCTGTGGGCTTTGTGTACAGGTCTGGTACGAACAATAAGGCTATGACCTTGTCGACACATTGGGCGTTTGTTTTCAGATATAGCCTACTTTGTACAAGGCGCGGATTGACCATAATGTTATCGCTTTTCATAGACTCAGTGTAGTGATAAAGATGATAAAGATGAATTTCTGAACGCTGGTCGTGGTCTTTCCATTTGGGGTTGAGGGTGTAGGCGGTGTCGAAATTAACGTGTTCACGTACCAAAGTCAGTTTAAATGGCATAAACCGTTCAGCTGCGTAACCATGTACCTTGTGTAGAAAATACAACGACTGGCGTCTTTGAAAATCGAAAAAAAAAAGAAGATAGCAGGTCTGATGTTTCGACACTCGCCTTGTCTTTCATCACTAGCACGAGTCTCAGATTTGTTAATTATACATACATTACTAGTTGATTAATTCAGTATTTTTACACTCTTTTATTTCATACTCTGTAACTTTACGTCTTGTAACTTTCAGCAGTATTGATATAAATGTATGTATGAATGAATGAATGATAAAAGGATAGCATGGAGGATGTGGAGATTTTTTTTTCATGTCGATACACGTGCCATCCATTGACACAAAAGATGTGAAGGGGCCGCCGCCTTAGCCTGTAGAACCTTTAACACCAAACGCTTACGCTTCAAAATCCAAGACAAAATTGCCATCAATGCCGGAGTCTTTTTTATTTAGGTGAATGCGGTCAAATCATGGGACATCTCCCTCCTCTTGCCATGAGCAAACATCGACAGGAGATACACATGATATACAAAAAGACAAAGAAGGGGAAAAAAGAACTAGATGATATAAAAAGCTGACCGCGTAACCTGGAAAACCGAAAATCCCGTACCGACGGAGACTTTGGAAAATGTAATTTGCGTGGGGTTCCAAAAGCCAGGATGCGGCTAGGCAGCTTGTTTAATAAACAAACTCTGTCGCCTAAAACGAGCGGGACGCGGTTTGATTCGGTGCCGCGGCCTGATCTAGGCCGGCGGGCGGGCCGGCGGGGTGACGAGGCGCGCGCACGGTCAGATATAGCTCAGACTTGTAGTTAGTATCCTTGCAGCGGTGGGGGAAGGCAATTGCTAGACTTATTCTATATATCTCTCTCTGTGAGGTCTAAGCGCTTGTCCGATGCCCACTGATGAGTAACTCGTGCAGAGATGTCGATTTGGGTCAGGGTTTTGTGATTTTGAGTTGTCGTGTATTGCGATTTATTTTTTATTTTTTTTATATTTTTTTGGCCTCCTACTGTTTGAACAGTCGTCGCAGACAGTCAAAAAAATTCCATACATTTCCCCCGCCATGCCTTTTACACATAACAGGCTATTCACCAACAGTCAAATCATATTTCAAGCATTGGACTCTGACTAGTCAAATTCAGTCAACAGACAAAAGCGGGCAAGCGGTGGGCGCAGCTGGCTTATCAATCACCTACAGTCAACGCATAGCTGTATCAAGTTACATAGACAGTCACAGCCAGTCAATCCTGCTTTATGTTGGCTGGGAGCTCTTAACTGTTGAAAACAACCTCTTGATTGATTTTGACTGCAAGGACAACTTGGCACAGAATGTATGTTTGCGTAGTAGGGTTTTAATGCAGGCTTTTAAAACTTACCCGCCGTTTACCTGGTATACCCAGATCATATTTGAATACTGACCGTTGTTAGACGTTGCAACGTCCTGGGTTCTTCCGGCATACTTAATTTAATATAAAATTACGATTCCAAGATGGCTACATCGCTGCACAAAGCTATGGCCTTTCTTTTGTTTACAGTTTGAGTTAACGTCATTTTGCATAGACGGCCACCAGTTTGAGGAATTTGAGAGGGAGGTATCTACATTTAGTGTTATATAGTGTCTGTGGGTTGTTCCTAACAGTTGACCGTTGACATAAACTGTTAAATGTGGGGAAAATAACACGTAAAGGATGCTTCAATGTTTGCGCTGCCCGTCGGTTGCACGTTGATATGACGTCACAGGACACGTAGTCTATGGGTGCGTTCGGTTAGCTTACCCGTGTGTAATGAAACTTACACGAGAGCGTTCGATTAGCCATCACGTGATCCTAGTGTCTGCCCCGGTGCCAACCATCACTGCCTCAGCTCGCGAGTGGGTCTCTTGTGGCTTCCCGGAGATAATGACGTAACCGGACGAGTTCATGCATATATTGAAGAAACAAGTGAGTACAGTGGAGAGATTTATGACACAATAATTTTTTTTTAGTTTTTTTTTTGTATATTTATTCGCTCCGGCGTAATTCTGTCACGGGTCGTAGAAAAGGTTGAAGACCCATATTAATCTCCACTACTGCGTTAAATGTAAGAGAAAAATTGAGTAAAAGTATTTTTTTTAAATATGAAAAGTATGAACTATTGAGTACATAAGCCAGTAAGAAAACCAATATTCCCAATTATTAACAATGTTCAATTGGATGGACATACTCTGATAATTTAGAGCATATCCTCCGATTTCAGCAGTAATTGATCTGTTTACAGTGATAAAACTAAATTTACTTGTAAAGCAGACGACAGTATGCCTGGTGTATTTACAGTTTAAAGTTCCGCCTCGCAACAACCTTTGACCTTAATTTCCACAGAACACCAGGCGAATACACCGCGGCGTTCGATTAGCCTCATTTCGTGGATTCCCGGGTGTAACCCCGTGTATAAACGGGGAAGCTAATCGAACGCACCCGATGTAGCCTTGCCTTGTTACAATGTTGACCGCCCACTCTGCCAACAACATTTTGTACTGTAACAGATCAAACAATGGTTTATAGGCCTGCTATATTTAGGGTTGCAGACCAGTACATAAACCCCAGTGATAAAAACGCCCAATTCCGAAATTCAGGGAAAATACTCACAATTCTCCAAGTTCTCCGAGTTGTTTGAGACACACTTCAAATTAAAGCTTATTTCATCATCTTTTATTTTCTGTTCAATTTTTTGGAGGTTAACCAATTACTTTTGTGAGAACATTTCATCCGTAGGCAATCACCCGTAAAAGTAGTCCTGTAGCCCATTGCCATTTTTGAAAATGATGCCTGTGCTGAGCAATTTCCAAGGGCCCAATTTCGTCCGAATTTCATAGAAATACGAGCTTGCAGTCCTGTTTACGGCTTCCAACCTTCTTTTTACAAACCCTCAAATTCATGGCCCACAAAATGCTGCAATACCGGAGAATTTTAGGGCATACAAATGTTGATTTGGACGGCGTAGGCAATATCGGGCCTATTTACTGGCCTGCACCCTTTATTAGGCCGATCACACTTTCCACATATTCAGACGTCGATCCGAATGTTCAATTGCCCAATACATTTTGTTAATCGTGAAGAGGACAGGTCCGAACTTTTCGAGAAAAAAAAGGTTTCAGGTAAATCAACAATTATCTTGGATGTTCTAAGCTCCGTGTTTGAGATACCAACATGGCTGCCGTGTGAAGGGAATCATGGAAAATCAAGATTCTACCTGGACCGCCATTTATTTCGAAGTACATTTTATAATTACATTTTCCTTATGTTCGCACAGTATAGGCCTACATTGCATCAGGTTTAATTTACCTTTTCGTTCCCATTAACTGTTATGCTTTTAGATTTTGCATGATTCTGCCTCTTTGGATACAGCATGTGGAATTTGCAAATAGTCCTAATAATAGTACTTAAAAACAATTGCAAATATCAAACCTGCAGCATGCAGTTGATAGTGCTATGGCATTTGAAATGACCACCATGCTTTGGATCAAATCCTTTTTTAACTCAGTATCAGGCGTCAATAGAAACGTGTTGTGTGTGACGTCATGATGTCGAGCCGACCGTGCACTCGTATACATATCGTATTTAGGTCATGCACCCCTAAAGCCAATGCCGTATTATACAGGCTGTCGACCCGTGCATCACGGGGGGAGAGTCACGCGGTATAGGGGACAGACTCACGGACTCGGAGCCGTGAGAATCATCGCTGTGAAGATCATATCCCAGACTTGATTGAATTTCATAATAAGCAAACAAAGCCAGCGGCTGGTCATTATAGCTGTAATTAAACCTCGTCTGCAAGGAAGGAAGGGATTTCCTTTGTGAAGCTTGGTCTGTCATGCCCGGAGAAGTTTGATTTTGGAAGACGAGTTTTCCCCTCTTTTGTTTTTTCTCTTGGCGGTGTAGGATTTATCTTTTGCCCGACTGAAAGGTCCTCAGTTCTCGCATAATTAGATGAGATGAGGAACATTTATTGCCATAACAGGTTTGGATTTATTTTTAAAAAAAAATACGCTTGTCTTATTAGGAGACCGCCACTTGAATGCTCAGTGGGTAGATCACCGGTAAAGTACTCGGGAGGTCGCACGTTCAAATCCCGCTGCAGTAGGCCTATATGTCATTGTTAAACCGTATGCACCTAGTCAGTTTCCCTTTGTGGTTTATTTGCTTATTTCAAAATAGATACAGGTCTGCGTCAATGCATGTCTTCTTATGTGGATTATGTTATGTTTCTGTTGTTGCAGAAAGATTCGAGCTTTAGTTTGGACATGGAGTATTAAACAGAGGGTTTGGGTAAGCCTAACATTCATAGTTTCAGTTCGCCAATGGGGCAAGATTTTCGATTCATACTACTGACCATCAATACGTTGACAATCCGCATGTATTTTCCTGTTCAGAGATGAGTAATTACATACACTTGTACGATGTATACGCGTTGGGCGTCGTTAGTCAGACAAGGCGAGAAGCACGGGGCTCAGGGAGGCGTTGATCCCGCATCGTGGATGGATCAAGGAGCCCCGATCCCCCGGGCTGTTTCACCGCTGTAACAGGCGGTCATGCGTATGATTACCATCATCACATCTACAGTCATCCGAAGGGAAGAGAAAAAAAAACAAAGTATAGAATGATTACCGAGTACGGGTTGCGCGAAAGAGAAAGGATTGCCAAAAACAAGAAGAGAAAAAGCGCGCGAAAACCAGTGCGCCATAAAAACTCATCACGCTCGGTGTAGGGTAAGTAATGACATCACCACCAAACAATTCGGTGATTCAGTGAACACGCCAGATTATTGTTTTTAAATGGTTTGTAGGCGGGGGTACAGTTTATAGGAAGGGGCGGATTGCTCTGGAAGATTGTGAATTCGATGAGTGGAGATCGGAGCAGAACTGATAGGCTGGATGTATGTAAAGTGTCAACGCATTTACAGGTCGGTCAATCGAGCGCTCTAAGCTCTGTTTCACGTTATTCTGTTTCCTCGACACATTAGTTTTATCGCTGCGTTTTGCAAGCGGAGGCCTAATGCGTGAGTTCAGTGCACTAGTGCACTGCGTTAATGCGCGGCTTATACCAAGATCTAAAATCACACAGATTGCTTCATTCAGCAAAGAATGGGTAATGAATGCAATTCCACACTGCAGTTCAGTTAACGAAGAGATAATATATTGTTCTGAAGATAGCACTGGTTCCAGATGTATGAACACACATACTTATATTCATGCTTATACAACATATCTGGAGCAGGATGAGGACAATAAATTGCAGTAATAAAG